CCTTTTTAAAAACGTGTTTTTAGCGTGTGTCCGTATGTCTTAGCTGCTACCGTATGCTTTAAGCTAGCATACCTGGTATGTTTTAGCATGCATGCATGCTACCGTATGCTTCAAGCTAACGTGTTTTTAGCGTGCGTGCATGCATGCCGTATGTTTAAGCTGCCATATGTTTTACCATGCCTAGCTACGCCCAGTCATACAGTGCGTTTTGTGTATGTGTCAAATACAGAAAGAGCACCCGTTACTGAGACTGCGGCCAACAATGCGGTGCGCCGAATGGTCGTGAAAATACGGGATATATATATATATATAAACACACACACACACACACACACACACACACACACACACACACACACACACACACACACACACGGGTGTTGGGCAATCACTATGAGGAAGTGGCTATTTTTCAGCACTCGAAATACATTCACACACAAACAACAGCACAAATCTCAGTCAAGTTGTTTATTTTATCTCTGCAGTCGATCTGCAATATTGTAAGCAGTGACACCTGGGTGATTGACTGTGAAGGGAAGAAAATACTGACTCTCGAAATGGGTCAGTGTTTCACCAACTGGTTGGACCATACACTCTGAGAATCACCCATATACAACGTGCATCTGAGTATGAGTCGTAGGACCAGCCAAACTGAAAAATGTGAGGCTATCGTCCGGAATTTTTTTTTCTTCTTCTTATTGGTGCATTTTTTGACTAGTGCAACTTATACTCCGGAGTGACATGTAGTCAGAAAAATAGAGCAATTATACATAATTTAATAATGCCGTATTAGTTGATGCAGATACACTATTTGCTCTTGTATATCATAGTACAGTGTTAGGCGTACGCTCACGTTTGAGTGTCATTGCAGTACCTGAATGTCCACGAGTCTCTCCTCTAACAGTTTCTCTTGCCGCTTAGCTTTTCTCTTCAATTTTTTCTTCTTGTTTTTTGACATTTTCCCAACCTACACACACACACACACACACACACACACACACACACACACACACACACACACACACACATATATATAGGTAAGAGAACAGCACAATAGTGTAGGATTCAGTTCAACCACACAACACTGTGAGTGTGGGGGTGGCATCAAATTCTGAGCCCCCATACAGTACGTAAGCCTCTTGAAGCCCCCTGCATACACACGCAAACTGTAGTCTATCCTGAAGTTGGTTATCTTTGGTTCGTGAATTGTGCCGTTTCAAGTTTGGGCTCACAGTCTTGTATATCAAAATGCGGGCTTATTAATGGCTCCCAAAGTAGACTATAGCATGACTACTATAATTTCCTTTCTACTGGTTACGAGTACAGCGTACTTCTGCCATTGAGTAGATTTGAAAAAGATAATCAGCATCAACTTCATCAATAAGAATAAAACTGTTTAAAAATAAAACTGTTTAAAAATGTAATATAATAGCGACAAATAGCAGTGAAAAATCTATTACTATCTACTAAGAGTTGTATTGATTGTGGGCAGCTTAGACATGTTAATGGGTTCAAAGTAGTGTATTAAAACCAGACCACTCAAATTTCACACATTGCCTCAGTGATATATGCATTTCACAGAGAAGGGGAGGTGGGACAGGTCAGTAAAAGCCAGTCTCAGAATATGAAAAACTTGAAACTATTTCTTATTATTATACTCCATAGCTTGTTTCCAGTGATTTTATTTTTCAGTTTTTCACTTTTCCCCCCCATTTAAGATGATGCCTTTCTTTTCACTAGAAAATAATAATTGGATTGAAATTAATTGGAATTAATCAAGTGCCCCCCAACTTTGCAACTCCACCACAAATTTGTTGTGGAGTTGCAAAGTTGGGGGGCACTTGAGGTGTGTGTGAAAGCTTGTATTTGTGCTGTTGAACCTAAGCACTGTGTCAAAATTATGAAACATCATGTTCCTGATCTGATTCACATGAAAGTAAGGCACAATAAAGTATCAGTAATTCCACAGTGAATGGAAACTGATAGCAAAAGCAAGCTATGACAATAAGTGACCACAAGGCGCGGAGCAGCTAACATTAGCCTCTGCTGCTTCTCCAAAAGGCTTTCTCCGTGTTTGTGACTGGGTAGGTAGTATGGAGTTGGTGATTACATGCAACTATCAGGCTGTTGCATTTAGTTTAGTCAGTCAAAAGTCAAGATCCAGTAGCTGAAGCAGAGAAACCAATCACAACACAGCAAGTGGTACATTTGGACACATACCTGGAAATCCCTGGGAGCTGTGCTGACTGGAGAGACACACCGAGAGAAAGACAAAGAGAATGAAAGAAAGCTGGAGATAAAGACAGAACATGAGAACAGGAAACAGCGAGTGCAGAAAACAGATGGAAGTGGAAGTTAAAAGACAACAGCAAATAAGTCGGGCACAAGTCAGGCACATAGGACATGGGCAAAAGACCAGAGAGCAAGTTTCGACTTAACGGGCAAAGCCTTAGATGCAAGCAAGAGGAGCATCAAAAGTTGTGTGACAGATTCTGCAGCCCTCGAGGAGAAACTGACCAATCATTGGCTGTCAGTCACCTGATGAGCCAGAAGGGGGCTGGGCTCCAGCTCTCTGCCAGATAGTGGCCTCAGCAGCGAGCCTCCTGATGTAGACCTCATCTACGTCCAGCAAGATGTTCTCTGGTTTTATATCTGTGTGGATAATCTTACACTTCGTGTGTAGGTAGTCCACACCCTGTAGCACCTGCAAACATGTCAACACAAACATGTCATACAACACTTTCTTGTTTTGTTGTGTGTGTGTGTGTGTGTGTGTGTGTGTGTGTGTGTGTGTGTGTGTGTGTGTGTGTGTGTGTGTTTTACCTGTTTGATAATGCTCTTGACACATACCAGAGGAAGGCCCATGTAGTTTGACTTGATGATCCATTTTAACAGCTGATGACCAAGAACCTCCAGAACCATACATACATCTAACACAGGCTGAGGATAACAAAGACTGGGCGGGTAGACATGGTCAGACAGACACATAGATGGGGTCAGTCAAGTGAGACAGGATGAAGGATACGCACGCCATTGACTCCAGAAATCTTGAAGTCATCAATTAATTGGACAATTGTCTCCCTGTGGGGGTCAGATGGGTCACTGTCCCTCACCTGGACACAGAGACACACTGTGAGGGCTGGTGACAGGCAAAATGCAGGGTTAAGTATTGACTAAATGCAAGACCAGATGGAGGACTGGGAATGGTAGTCAGTGTGGGCCACGGTAAAGGACTGCGTTTGGGTCTGGTTTAGTATTGGGTGTGGTACTAGAAGCAGGACTTCGTTTAGAAATGGATGCAGGACTAGGTGTGGGTCTTAGTGTAGGATTATGCGTATGGCTATGTTTCTGGTGCGCTACAGGAAAAGGTGCAGGACTTACTGCTGGGCTCGATATGAGGATAAAGTGCAGGACAACATGCAGGACAAGGTGAAGAATTACATGTAAGATTAGGTGTAGGACTAGGTGTAGGATTAGTTGAAGGAGTCAGTGCAGGGCTAGTGCAGGACAAGGTGCAGTATTACGTGTAGGACAAGGTAGGGCTAAGTGCAGGAATATGTCCATGACAAGGTATCAGAGTACATGCAGTACTACATACAGGACTACTGCAGGTGCAAAACTACATGCAGGAATAACTATATAACAAGGTGTAAGGATTCCTGTAGGACTAGATTTAGCATTACATGTAAGATTACGTGCAGCACTATGTACAGTATTACGTCTAGGACAAGATGTTGGACAAAGTGTAGGATTAGGTCCAGGACAAAGTATAGGACTACATTCAAGAGTAGGTGCAAGACTACATCCAAGCCTAGATGTAAAATAAGGTTTAGGAGCTCATGTAGGAAAAAGTGCAGGGTTCGGTGCAGGATGTGATGCTCCAAGGCTTGACACTCACACATCTGAGCAGTTTGATCTCATCCAGAGCAGTCTCTGTGTAATGGAGTGCGCTCTTCACCACTTTCAATGCAACAAAGCGTTTCTTCCTGAAAACAAACAAAGGGAAGGTACATGGTCAGAGGACATGACTGCAGACGGAGGTAGAGAAAACAAGACAAACTCTACAGAGTCGTACTGCAGGTCCCAGCAGAGCCAGACGGTAGAGAAATGTCCCCAGCCAAGTTTGCGGACCACATGGTACCTCCCGTTAAAGAGGTCTCCGATGGTGACTGGGTAGTAACCACCTGGAACACAAGGACCAGAACAGTCACACATATACTACATTCAGATGATGATCACGTAGAAGTAAAGCTTCCAGGATGACCAGATATGGTTTTATGTTGAAATTGTCACCTTTGCAGTAATCTGATGGATCTTCCTGTTCTTCATCATCAGAGCCCAGAAGCTGAGAAGGGGGCAGGGTTAACTCTGCAGGTGGTGGGCTCAGAGGAGCAGGTGACGGTGTGACCACACACGTTGGCACTGATGATATCATGGAATTTGAAGGGTTACAGTTTAAGTTTGGAAGGGAGGTGGCAGAGGAAGAGATCAGTGGGGAGTAAGGGTGGAAGGAGGAGACAGTTGTGGTGAGGCTCACAGAGGTGGGCAGTAATGGATTCAGGGGGGAAGAGCTTACTGGAGGAGTAGTAGAGGCTTTAGCTGTGCACAGGGTGGTAGTTTTGGCTGTTGCATGACTAGATTTAGAATTTTCAAATGTTAAATGACTCCATGTGCTGAAATCATATGACATTTCCTTCTTGACACTTGATGGTGATTGGCTAGTGTTATGAGTGTGACTCTGAGATGGGATAGGAGGTGACTGGTTCTGGGCAAATATCTGAGATACGACAGGATGTGCAGGGCTGTAGGTAGGGTTTTGAGATGGCATTGAAAATGAATGACTGTGGGTGGGGCCAGGAGACGGGAGATCAAGTAACAGGCTGTTGGTGGTGCTCCGAGATGGAACAGGAAGTGACTGGCTATGGGCAGGGTTCTGAGATGAGACAGTCAATAAATGCCTTCTCTGAGGCGAGACAGCAAGTGATTTGCTTTGGGAAGGAATGTGAGCCAGGACAGGAAGCGGATGGCTGCAGGTTGGATTCTGACCTTGGATAGGATGTGATTGGCTGTGGGTGGGATTCTGATCTGGGTCAGGAAGTGAATAGCTGTGGGTGGGGCTCTGACCAGGATCAAAAAGTGTTGGACTGTGGGAAGGGCTTTCAGTGGGGATGGAAAATAAATGCCTGCTATGAGGTGAAACAGGATGTGATTTGCTGTGGGCGGGACTCTGCATTGGCAAAGGAAGTGGCTGGCTGTGGGCTGTACTCTCAGGTATAATAGGAAGTGGCTGGTTTTGGGTGGGCTTGTGATGTGTAATAGAAAGTGGCTGGCTGAGGTGTGTCTCTGTCAGGGGGATAAGAGGGAGGATGATGGCGCTGTGAAGAACATCTGTAGAACACTGATCTGAAGGGGTATGTGTTAAATTTTGGGTTGGGGGGTCCAGGTGAGGGAAGCATGTATCCACAGTGTGAGGGGTTACTTCTTGAGCTTCAACTATGGTGTCACTACTTGTACTTTGTAAAGGTGCGTCTGTTTTGGGAGTGAAGGGTAAGACTGAGAGGTCTTCCTGTGTCCGGGGTTGTAGTCTGTCACAAAGGTCATCAGAACTAGAACAAGAGACAAAGACCCTCGGTAAGCACACACTGAAAGGAGGCAAGGTTTCACAGTGGTTCTTAACCTGGGTTCGATCGAACCCCAGGGGTTCGGTGAATCGGTCTCAGGGGTTCGACGGAGCCTCTGCCATGGAGGTGAAGATACATCCGACTCAACATGTAAATTAGTTATGACACGCCCGCTTGGCCATCGCTGGCTGCAGATGATCACATTACATTGCTTGTCCAATCAGTGCTGCGGGGAATTTAGTTTGCTAAGTCGTCAACATGTGACGGTCATGATTGACAGATTGATTATTTTTAGTTATCATACATTCGCTTATTATTAATGTTATTATTGTTATTTTGATATTGATTGATTGATTGATTATGCTCGCAAAGAAGAAAGCTTATGCCTGCAATGATAAATTGATTATGCTTGCAAAGATGAACGCTTATGCCTGCAATCATTAATTGACTATGCCTGCAATGAAGAACGCTTATGCTTCTAATAAAGATATATTAATCATTATGTACTCACATTTATAATCCTTTGTATTATATTTATATACTCACATTTATAATCAAGAATGCTGAGTGCACTGTGTGGAAGTTTAGGGACGCAACCATCTTTCCGAGGACGTGGTTGGGAAGAGATAAGTGTTCAGACTAAACAGGAGCAAGGTTGGACAGTGAATGGAGCCATCAACACCAGCTGCAACGTGATGTTTTTGGAACAATTGCACACATGTACGTAATTTACACTCACATACTGTAGTAGATTTCCCAATAAATGAGGGGGTGAAGGGGGAGATCGTTAGGGTGACGTGCCGAGAACTGAAACCTAACGCTTCTCCTCGTTCCCTCCTGGTACCAGAATTGACTCTCCTGTCTTCTCCTTGTGTTTTATTCCTAAGTGTCATATTGGATAAACCTGACATTTTTGGGGGCTCGTCCGGGATCGCAATATACCTGACGCCTCCAGACGCTGAGTCGACGGCCAGGAAGACCGTGGCCACGGCTAAAACACCCTTTCCGGGACTAGGTTTCGGCTCCTCGTCTGGGGGCTGAGGGTTGAAGCGAATCCAGAGGAGAGAGGACTACTCTTGGTAAGTAGGGCGGCGGTGTCCTGTACGTACTTAAACTCCGCATTAACACTCTTTCAAGCGTTGAATGAGTGTTTGCGCATTGGGTTTGTAAAGACGGAGGTCGGGGTAGTCTTTAAACCTGTTTTTAATTGGAACCCTCTCAGGACAGGTGCTGCAGATTTGTAACAACCGAGTACCTAGACTACACCTGGTTCGAGAACTTAATTTGAGCCTGAGAGGGATCTATTGAGAAGGGACTCTTTCAAGCGTTGAATGAGTGTTTGCGCGCCGGCTAAAGACGTGGTCTTGAAAGCCGTTTAAAGCCCTGAGCCATACTAGTCCCTATGAGGTATATAAGCAGAGTGAAGTCTTTAAAACTGTTGAGGGCGGCGGTGTCCTGCACGTGCTTAAACTCCGTGTGTAAATAGAGTGTGTATATAGATCGTTACCTAGGTTGAAGGTAATCGAATAAAATGCGCTTAATGCGTGACTGTGTAAATGTGTGAGTGGAGGTTTGCTACCTCATTAGAACAGGACATTTGTTGTGGCAACTGTCTGAGGAAGCAGATGCAAGAATTTCCCCA